GATATCAACTATGTACCGTAAACCAGAGCAACTTTGTACCACTTTTTAGGTTTTTGTTGAATATCTTTTTTAATTGTTGTCCAATCTGGCTAGTTTTTTGCTAGGTGGAAGCTACAACCTTTGTCAACAGTTTGCTCTAGAGTAAAAGAATGCTAGCATCTTGAGTTATTTTATTTTTTTATTGAACAAGTGGTCAAAGTTGTAGAGGGGTTTTACAACTTTGTACCACTGATTATAATCCTATTTTATTCAATGCTAACGAAAAAAAATGGTATTTTACAGAGCATCTTTGGTCCACATAAGTTCTTTTAAAAAATATCCTGAGACACCAGGACTTCAACTGGCTGAAAACAATCATAGAAACACTGGTTTACAATGGGGCAACAGATTCACAGTGAACGGCTGTTCCGGGCTTTGGATGGAGTAAAATCACATGAGCACTCTGGCTTTTTAAATGAGCGGCTGAGTAAGAACCACAAAACTCAGCACCTTCAGAAGTCACTTGACAGTTCTCTAACAAATGAAGGTGAATTGTCCACGGGTGCCAACCGGGATGGGAGGCTGGAGCTTGCGGATGACATCGCTGAATGAGTAGGTAAGAATATCATCATGCCTAGGCCACTTAAACCTATTACCAAACTGCTCCATGGCACGGATTTTCGGCCCATCATCTGCGACAGCCACCACCTCACCCCGATACACCCTCCCTTCGTACAGGAACTCTACAAAATCACCAACTTGAATGCTGTTCCTGCTTGGAGCTGTCCTGCAGTTTATGACAGTTCCTGCATTGACTGTCATAAATGACGAAAAAAGTATGCTATAGTGATGAGAAGCTTCCTAAGAATGATTTCCTGGTGGACCAAAGTTGTAGCATTTTGACGGAAAAAGTGCTTGCAACTTTGACCACCACCCCTAAGAAATGACCATAAAAAGAAAATGGGGGTTTTCTTCCTCTAAGCCTTTGGAGAACTCATGTACTTACTGTCTAGATAGCCAGTGTCGCTCCAGTTCTTACCAGTTCCGCTCCTTACATCATCCTAGCAACTTCTGTTTTTTGCGCCAAAATCAAGGCTTTTATTATAAAAATTCTGCTGCTGTCAAGGTCACATAACAAAAGCAGGTCTGTTCACAAATAGTTAGGGCACATATTGGACTAAATTGCCTGCATGAAAAAATGTCCCAAATATTACGATGGTTTTTTTAAAAAATCAGCAAAGTATCTTTTCCATGGTGGACCAAAGTTGCACCGATGGACCAAAGTTGCTCTGGTTTACGGTACCTATGGAGAATAGTAATAGCCATTACGGTGGGACTGCATTAACATGGGTTTCGGCATTGTCACGCGAGAAGGGCCTTCCCTAAAAGCAAAACAGCTCGCTTCTTCCAACTAAAACATGACGAACAAAGTCTGCATGGGTCACAATGGAGCATACCGAACGGCTATTCGGTACCAGCTCCAGTCCAAGGCCCTTTCTCGTGACTCGATCACCGTCGGTGCACTGTCATCAGGTGCACTCGCAGGTTGGTCTTGTTCGAGAATATTCTGCCGCAAATGGTGCACGTAGTTTCGCCCGTGTGCATCTTCTTGTGAGCGCCAAGGTCCGCCTTCCGCACATAGACTTTACCACAAAGGTCACAGCGAAAACCTTCCTTGTTGCCTTGAGCTCGTCTTGCAAAGAAATCTGGAAAATATCAAAACATTGATGTGCGAAACATTCGACACAATTGTATGGGTGGAAACATATACCCCTATATTGAGGCAGCGGTTATAATTGAGCATAGCAGTCAAAACAGAATCAATCAAATAAAACTTGCAATGCAAATATCAACCGAAACAGAAAACTGGAATGTGTCAGCAGTGTGGTTAGTTTTTATTGTTAAGAAATACGTCCTTCCGCGAGTCATAATTTAGTAATCCTTTTACAGAAAACATGGAACTTCTGCACATACAAACATACTTATGACATCTTTCCTGAAGTCCTTCGACCCAAAAAAGATGAGCCGGTTCATTTGACAGCCTTTATTGATAAGTAGTTAACGTATTCAAGAGTAACTAAAATGGTTCCTAATTAAGTTACCTACAATGACATTGGTCGCAGACTGGCCTCTACTTGTATACAATAATTATATCGCAAATCAAATGTCCTTGAAAGTTACATGTTCTCGTCCTATGGGTAAGTCTGCTTTTTACGTTTATCCGTCTTTCATATGTATAATTTTGAACATATTTCTATTGAGCGACGCTGTTTTTATTTGCTCCGAACTCACAGTCCGTTATCGGCGAAGGCCGAGCATAACGTCCATCTGGTCTTTGGGTATTTGGTGCTGGCTGTCCATGTGGCGTTTCAAATTGGACACCCGGCTGAGGAACTTGCCACAGATGGGGCAGTTGGTGAGCCCCTCGTGCGTCAATCGGTGCTCGTACAGGGAGGACGCTGATGCAAATGTCTTCATGCACAGCGGACATTCCCTCCTAGGTCTGCCCCCTAGAACAAAGTGTGGCATGAGATATCGATGAAACGATCTACGTGTACACCGTTTACCAAGTAGCTGATGTTAATGTTTAAATATCGAATAATGCAAAATCATAGCTTCAATAGCACGGCAAGATGTGTAGAGTCCAAGGAAAAATTTCGGCGAGCAAAAGCGTTCCCAGGTGCTGCACTCGAGGGTACCGGTCATACCAGATTTAACATTTTAGTTTCCCCCCTAAATCGTTCCATACGCGTAGCGAGAAAATGGCAAGGGCTCGACTCTGGAGAATCTGAAGGGAAAATTTTGGAACAGGAACAGTCTTAAAAATTATACTTTTTGGAAGTTTCTTATCCGAAATGATTGAGCATTCAGCTGCAGTTGAACGTTCGATCTATACCGTCTAACAATAGTTCATCTATCAAGAGTGAACTAACCGTTGTTCATTCTTGCGTTTCATATTGAAGCAAGTGAGTGAGAGCATTAATATCCTTCGCCCGGAGCACTGCTGGGTGACAACTATAATGTGTTACCCTCCTCAAACAAGCCGTACTTCCCATATTTCCGCTTTTGAAATGATATTTGAACATAGGCGCGGGAGCCGGGGGGGCAGTGGGGGCAACTTGCCCCCCCAACTTTGGGGCCGTGGGGGCGGTGCCCCCACAGCTTTGAGACGGAATACCACACTTTTTTTGCAAATGTTTTCTTTTTTTGTTGAAAAAGCCGAGGGGTGAAAAATAAGTGGCCTAAAACCGGTGAGAAAACTAGATTTGGGGGTACCCTAGGTTAATCTCTATTATGGTGTGCCCCCCCAGTCGGAAAGTAGTTCCCGCGCCCCTGTATTTGAATACATCGCTTACACTACAAGCTGCCATATTCCTTATTTCAGTTCACGTTTCCGAGAGGTACCAACAATTAGGCATGTGAAACCGCAAAAATATTTATTGATAACAGCACATGACAATTACAAAAACCCGACCAAGATCAATAACGTTAAGCGAATGTCTTTAGATGACACAAATACAATGGGATGAAGGCAGTAGGGTCTCTAATTCCAACAATACAAATATGGACGATATACAGAAGGTGGTGCGAAAATTATTTGAACAAGTACACTGAACATTGACGTAGCAGTCGCCACTACACAGCCACCCCCTCCCCCCACGACACTATTCATGACCTCTACGTTAAATTTGAGTCTATAATAGGTGTGGCTGTCCTTTAAGAAGGTTTAGAACATATCTAGGTGACATTTCAAAAAAGAAAAGTGGCTTTGAAGTAAACCATAACCGACTCCATTTATCTCAAGAAAACAAGCCACCTTTTCATACAATTCTATCACTACATTTTTCCATAATCACGCAAAACATCTCCACGAATTATTATCCGGCCTTTACATGGCTGCAACCTGTCAATGACGCCTCTATTCACAACCAGCTGCTTCGCCTTAACTTCTGGACCGCCCTCGGATAAGCTTTAGGATTGAAGTGTAACGTGAACAGAGTAAGAATTCATCAAAATCTTGTGTTTTCCGAGCACTCAAAAATTGGAGTCAGGCAGTAGCGATCCAGGCCAAGGCGCTCACAACAAGCTCTGGTTTCGATGATCCGTAAAGTGATTCAATCTGCCACAATCAGACACTCCGAAAATTGCAGATAACGATGTCACTTTTCGTGTTCGCTCAATAACTAGGAGGAACGTGAGGCATCGCCAGCAGCCGCTTCACGTCGTCCATGGGAATGTTGTGCACCTTGCTGACGTGCACGCGCATGTAGTAGGTGCGACTGAGCGCCAGGCCGCAGATCGGACAGGTGGTGCGACCCTCGTGCGCCGACAAGTGCTGTCGCCGAGAACGTTCGTTTTTGAAGCGAGCGTTGCAAAGCGAGCATGGAAAATCGGCTGCAAAGAGGAAACGATCAGGGAGATCAGAACGCCATCTCGGACGGCACAAAAGAACATTTCGAGCACAAAAAGCAGCTTAATTATATACGAGAACAATGTTGAGAGAAAAAAACTTCTACAGCGAAGCTAATGAATGTATAACACTAACGTAATATTACAACATACCCCAGTAGAGCAAGTGATAGCAAAACAACGCCATTCATATTCTTTTTTCGTCGTGGACGAGAAGGAATAACTCATGTTTGAAAACAAAATAATAGCGTTGCTGCAATCATATAACGCCTAACTGAGCATGGCGCATCATTATTTGACTTCGTTTCGCAAAGTCATATTCCAATATTCAGTATTAGCTCGTGGGATGTAAAATCGGTGAAGCATGGTTATCAATTGCATTTTCATCGACACTTCTTAAAGGAATGAAACGGGTCGGTACTACTTTGCTTTCAATACCAGAAGAAAGCTTTTTTCTGTAATTGAATAAGGACAGAAATAAACATTAAAACATAATCCCACGAAAATTTATATACAAATGCAATACAAATGGGGACAGGCGATATAACAAAAAATGACCAGGAAGCAGAAACTCCCGCATGAGATCACTACACCAATTACAAATTACGAAACAATCCAATTTATATGTATTCATAGAAACTTGTACACAACGGTAACGTGTCAACCAGATTTTGACAAAATGACGGAAGGACAGAACAACTTGCTAGAGGACGACAATAATAGGAAATCCATTCAACGAAGCAAAACACACCAATCCGCTCAACAGGACGTAAACCAACTTCAACCACATCAAAACAGAGAATCGCCAAAACGTGAGGAATCGCAAAAATAACCAAACATTCCATCCCTCTGCGCACATCAGGCCGGGAACATATTCACGGGGGAGCTCCATGATCACCGCCGCTGCGCCAGGAGCGTCTGAATCTGATCGCGCGGCACCTGGTGTTGACAATGCAGGTGTCGTCGCACGTCCGAGAGTCTGCTGAGCCGCCGACCGCACAGCGGACAGTCCGTCAGGCCCTCGTGCCACAGGCGATGTTCGTACCACGACGACACCGACCTGAACGACCGAGAGCACAGTGTGCATTGGTGCTCGGCCGGTGTGGGCATGCCTAAAACAAAGGACAGGAAAGGTGGGCGTGGGCAGCCACTAACGTCACAGGTAACAAGACACAGTGAAAAGAACAAAGATGGAAGCAAATAATCCAGAAGATAATCGATCAAAATATCATGTGTATAGTTGAACGTCTATGCAAAGTGATTCAGTGATTAGGTTTTTGGTGATGGTGAGCTAATTCAAGCAGTATTTTCTTGACAAGTAAAACTATTTCTTTTTTGTACAAACAAGTAAGGTTTTAAGCAAAATTTAAACACGCGGTTTTTTGTAGTAACAAACATATACCTACAACATACAGGGTGCGTCATAAGTTCTGGTACACTTTTTCTTTTAGTACTAAAAAGAGTTACAACAGGTTTACAGAGTTGAGTATTTCAGTAGAGGATCTTTATGAAGTTAAGTCAAAGCACGTGTGATATCATGAAAAAATATTAACTAGATGAGCCTTAATTAAACAAATGGTAACTGACCGCCCGACAGCTAAGTGCACACCATGCCGCCTTTCTCCCTAACAAAGAAAGTTCGCGGGGCCATCGTCTGCATGAAGATGGCGGATATCTCGGTAGCAAAGATATGTTGCACGCTTCGCTGCACGCGGAATCGTGTGTATCGGACGTGGACCCGGTACCAGGAGACCCAGAGTACCGGAGACCGATTGACCGATGTATATGGAAACATAAGTAAAATGTAAAAATGTCAAACTGTGTAGGTATATACAGTCGGAAGAGTTCTTTTTTCTTCTTCTAATAATGTTCGTTTATCTTTTCTGCGGTTTGTGTCGGGGATTACATTGGAGGACCAAATGACTGTTATAATTAGGTAACTAGTTATATGCACACAGATGAGACAAAATGTATTATTTGTACAACGGCCACACGACAGAACCATTTATAATAGTGATGGATAACAATAAATAATTATTGGAAATGAGAATTAAAGAGAAATTGAAAGAAACTGCAATATCGAAACAGAAAGATAGCTAGCGCACATCGACATAACCTGTAGGAGCTGAAAGATGTGAAATATCCACACTTGTTAGGCAATAGTAAGACGCCTTATGTGCCTACAATCGTACGTGATGATTCACCCTCATAAACAAAAAACAACGGCGTTAAATGAAAATCGTTATTATACACATCTAGCGTACACAATGCCAGACAAGATACCGATAAAGGTGTTCCACGAAAAAACATGCTACCAAAACAGACAACGAGGGATTCCGCTCGCTCATTCGGCATGAGCCGCCGCCTGCTGCCCAGTCTCACACCGTGGTCCATCGCACAACACGAACCACCCAACCACTGCCGTCCGGTTCGGCTCAGACGCCGGGCCGGTTGTGCACCGACTTGACGTGCAGGTTCCTGGCGCTGGGCGTGCCGAAGCACTTCCCGCAGACAGGGCACGTGGTGCGCCCCTTGTGCAGGCCCATGTGGTTGTAGAGCGCCCGGTCGCTGCCGTACACCTTGGAGCACACCGGGCACACGTGCTGCTGGCGGCCCGTCGCCGACCAGGCGGCCGTCACAGGCGCCACTGAGAAAGCTGCACGAACCGGACACCGACCGTCAGGCCAACGTCCTCACCACACACGAGCATACAAACCCAACTGCAAAATGCAAGCTTTCATAGTAGTTCATATATGCTACAGAAATTGAGCATAAACTAAGCAACAGGCATCCGACTAAAAGAGAACAAATGCGGTATTAAGGGTTCTCCAATATTTCAAACACATTGATTGAGACATCTTGTTCTATTCATATAATAGAACGGTCCAAATTGCGTAAAGCAGCGTGATTCAATACATGTTACGAATCTCATGGGCCTTCAACAGGACAGGCAAGAGCGGCAATCAAATATTGTGGGTTGAGGGTAAGCGAAGGCCAGGTGAATTTATACATTATACCTACATGCTATTTATCTTATGTCCATGTTTTTTTTTTTTTAGCAAAGTAACAGTGATGAGTGAGCACCTACGAGTGTACCCTGTATCTACAAGCAATGTACAGCGATTACTGTCCTCAACGGATCCCAGCCATCCCATCATTAATTTGTGTGTTGATCACACTAACGATACTGTAACACAGCGTTGCATAATACGGCTACCAGTACACTGAACGGCGAACGCGATGCAGAGCACTAGGGTGTGATAATTTTATACCTCAGAGGGTTGGCAGACCACGAATAAAGTCGTTAGTACAATCGTGAACTGTTCGCAGATGCATATTCCTGGAACTGAATGTGCCGAAGCATTTCCCGCATAGAGGACATTTAGTCCGGCCCTCATGCATGGTCTTGTGGTTATCCAGGGCCTTTTTGCTGCTGTATCTCTTGAAGCAGGTCTGACAGACGAACTGATTGGGAGATACTCCAGATGTAAAGGCTGCCCAGAAAGAGACGAAAGTTAGTACCCCCGTTGGGCGGATTTGCAAGGGCAACGGTCTTTACAAAGTACGCGGCAGGGTATTTCACTCTCCTTAGTAAGACAAACGATTTGGAATCACCTCAACGAAGTTTTACACCATCTCCGTTTCACCGATGACCATGCAGGGATGTTATATGAGGCAACCATTTTTGAAGTAAATGCAGACGACACGTTTATTGAAATGCATGTGCATAGTACATCGTGATGTCAGTCAACAAATGCGCGCATTTAACGCAAAAACTCTGAATAAACACAAAACACCTGTGAGCTACCAAACAACTCAATTTCGAGCATAGCAGTGTCGTACTTGTAAATGACACGGGCTGCTCTAAACAGATCCAGCATCAGCAAAGAACAATAGATGCAGATACTCGTCACATCAAAACACAAAAAGTGGCTATCGGAGGAGATGAAGCCCAAAGCCGACATGGCAGCGTAAGGGTTCCACTTCATGAACCAAGCTTCTGTATGTCTTCCTTAGTGAAATTGTGCTTGTTCCTCAGATGTGTGTTCCTATTGCTAAAACTGCTCAGGCACTTTCCACAGATGGGACAGAAGGTTCGGCCCTGGTGCATTCCCATGTGATGCTTCAGCGCTGTGCTGCTGCCGTAGGTACTGGAGCAGATTTGGCAGACGAAACGTCCGTCCGTGGATCGTCTACGAAGCGACCTATACGGATCCACTGCACAGAGCGAAAAGGTTCCGTTAGAAAGGGTCGAATAAGAGCACATTTGCCGTATGGAAACCAGAAACGGAATGGCAATATGTAATAACGGACATACGCAGAGACAAGCAGCTGAACCCAGTAGTCTGTAGCACAAACGATAAAAAAGAAGCAAAAATCGGCAGAATCAATGAGCATGATAGAAACACAATTCGTGGAAATCCCTACCAAAATCGTTCAGCTTATCAGCCTCCACAAACGTCCAGAACGCCAGGTAGTTAAGTGGCACATATGCTTGAACAACGATAAAGTGTACCAATAGGCCGCCTAAAGAGCAGTGTCTTTGAATTATGGTGAGTTGTACCGACATCATGGTTTATTTTTCTGTCATTTTTCGTAGTGGTCTGATTGCGTTTGGGAGCACAATAAAGTAACCTGTGCTAGACTAGATAAGATAAACGGATTCTAGAATGGATAATTTCAACTCGTGCATCTGGCAAAACTTGCGTAAAGCCCAATGCCAATGACCTACATGGGTGCAAAGGTTAAGACAGACATGGAACAGGTTGTTAAAATGTTGGGGAAGGGGGGGGGCGTATGCGAGTCCTTCACAAACATAAATACATACATCATAATGTGATCTCTTGATGCCGCTGAATCCAGCATGCAATGAAAGCCTGACGAATACTGTACAGTGGCGGCGCCACGAATTTTCGCCAGTGGGGGCAAGCTTGAAACTGACCCGAGTGTTGTCTGATAACGCCGATCTGCAAAAACCATGAGCACCTTGTCCCTAGATGTTGCCATTCAAAATTATTTTGGTTTCAGGTTACATGCATAGGCGTATAGTTTAACCATTGACCCTCGCGGGCCCGGAAGGGGGGGGGGGGCGTTTTTCGCCTCCCCCTGGCGAATATTTGCGATACCTCACGAACGCTTAGGGATAGAAAGACGAAACTTGCTGTACCTTATCCCACATTAATTTGACATCTTTTGAAACAAAAAATTTGGACCTAGCCTCCTTGATAATGTCTCAGGGCCGATTTTTCTAGACTCCTGCACGGCAAACTTCGGCGTCACAGACGTGAAATTCAACCAGCTGCCAAAAATTGAGTTTTAGAGATAAAGACAAATTACGAGCACGGTTGTGTAGCATTTGACCTACAAAAATACTTAAGTAACTTTGGTGACCTGAGGTCAGAGGTCAGGGCAACGACCCCGAGCTGGGGCTTTAGTTTCTTTTTTCGCAAATAACTTCAACAAAAATGGTCCTGGAGCTACGGCAGTGGTACCTTCGCATTAGTCTTGTCGAGACGCGTCGAATGACATATATATTGTTTGGAAAAGGTCAAGTTTTATGTTGACCTCATGTGACCTCGAGTGACATTTGGTTGATTTTTTACACATGGAAGGTCATTTGTGATGATTTCGTAGCCGCTGATCACGACTCTGGGCCTCTGGCATCCATTTTGCTGTAAGAATTCATTTAGAGCCTCAGTATGGCAAACATGTCTTAATTATTATGCCTGACTTGAATAGTGAAATAGCCTCTAGCAAGGATACTCTCTTGTGACTTTGACCTTGTAGCAGCCTTGTATCGTAAGTTAAAGCACAAATAGGGGTCCGCTAAGCTTGAAAACATATCAAAACATCTTGGAATTTAGTATACAAGATATAAGAAAAGTGCAAAGTTTGTGGTCAATTTTGAGCATGATCGTGACCTTGAATTTGAATGTTATGCACATCATCGGAATCCACGGATTCTCGTCTTTTGTTCAACATCCCTTTTAGCCGATTTTATGCACCATGCCGTCCTCTGGAACACGTCCTTTGAGACCACTACTGACTACATAAATACCGGTTTTTGCCTTTGACCTTGAATTCTGACCTTGAAAACTGACCTGAGGTTAAAAAGTTTAGGTGCTTTGGAATCTTCTCATAGATACTTTTCGTTTGGTACCATTTTTGTTTCCGTAGCTGCCTTATTAACGGAGTTAAACAGGGAGGGGGGAGGGCTACCCCGGGCTGCGGTGGTTAGGATTACCCCCGGGCCCGGTCGAAATAAAACTATAAAACTAGATTGCGAGACACAAACCTGTGAAAACGTTATGTTGTTCGTTGAGATGTAAAATGGTGTGTTCCTCAAAATTATAGTCAGTACCTATTTCTCCTTTTCCCCGTAGTACGCATATATGTGCGATTCTCTCACATACGATTGATATAGGTACGAGAATAAGCTCCATTAGGGCGACCCACATACAATTCCAGATAACCCGGGATATACATACCTATCACATTTTGTCACACCTCTCTGAGCTCAGTCTCAGTCTAAGGGTTCCCAAAAGAGGGGGATCTCTTCTCTGGCCGACTTTTGATAAACTGCTTCTCAACCTCCTCGAGATCAAGCTCGAGGGCAGCCTTTTGGTGAATGAAAATGAGTAGGAGAATGAGTGGGAGTAGGAGATAGCGACAGACGGTCCGAGAACGAACGTTCTGCTGACGCACTTGATACGAGGACCGTCAAAAACAGGCGTACTATTTTAACCGCCTATGATGAATGTTGCACCGGTCTTCTGTTCCCATACATCAGCCAAATTTTGTGGGGGCAAAAACATAGTCTTGCCCCCACGGCCTCCTGCCAGTGGGGGCAGTCTGCCCCCACTGCCCCCACGGTGGCGCCGCCCTTGAGTAGCAACGCTGCATCACTGACGACAGCTCAGAACGTGAGGACATGGAGTGCAGCCTTCGAAATGGACAGCCAATGTTTACAGCAAGACGGACAACCCAATGAACATTGGACTGACCGTTCTAAAAACACATCAAATCGACAATTAGTGTTTTTAACGCCTAGTTCTACCATAAATAATGAATAAAATAGCTGCAATATAAAGCTACCTTCACCGACATAAGCATCCGTGCTACTGCACCATGCAGAGTTGATGAAAATTAATGTTTCGCTAGCGAAACTATGTTATCGTTTTTTTTTGTGTCTCGGCACGTAAAACAGAAAGGTTGCAACGTGGATAGATAGTTTGATAAAATGATGATGAATAATAACATTGAATACTTTTGCTAAAATGTTTCATGCTATTAGGATAAGTGCATCACAGCATTAAATCAAATATGAGAATGGCGTCAGAAGGTCGTGCTATCATCTTACACCCATTGCATTGGCTAGTACGTAAGATTCTAAACTTTCACTTTACCTGGCTATATCAGGCGTTCAAAGTCCTAGCTATTGCAAGAAAACTCACCAATAAACGCCTCCAACAAACTCCAACCGAGACATGCGACAAACACTCAATGAAAACAACGCTTTCATGTGCAGTCCATCTTTTCCTGGCACAGTTTCGGACGTGTTAAATGACAAATGGATAAAGCCAACTCATGAACTGCATTTACTTGACAAAAACAAATATCTAGCATAATTAAGTACCAAGCATAATTGCAAAGACCAAGGAAGTTAAGAATGTCTAGGAGATACTAAATAAAATGACGCATGGCTCGCAAACAAGAAACATCTAAAAAACATTGTAATCCCTATAGACTTTGCTTTTATGATAGTACTTTGTCAGCAAAAAGTTAACCCACACCAAGAGTAGCCTAAGAATCAAGTGAGCTTTATATATCGTAGATCACTAAAAACATATAGACCACTAAAAACATATAGCATTCAGTATCATTCAGCTAATGTGAAGTGCTTCATTGGTGCACCACTATCATTTATCAACAACAAAATGAATGATATAAGGTATAGCACAGTAAGAAAAAATCTGCTGGCTTTTATGAATGACTATCATCATATAGGTGACATGCATCGCGCACGTCGCACAAGTGTGTCTTCCTACGAGTAAAGCAGGACTTGAATCGAGACTTGATCGAATATGAGTGCATGCATAACAGTTGATGGTATTCTCGCACAGATTTGGACCTACCTTATTGCTTTGATCACAATCCATCTTCAACGCCACATCCACACAAAATTCAATGGCAGCAAATTACCAAAAATCGCGATATGCCAAACCAAACATCGCGAAAAGCCAAACAAAGTAAAGCAACCTCACGAATACCTTAGTCCGTATTTTGGAATTTTGCGTACTGCAGTTTGCATTCTGGGAAGTTAGAGAAAGAAGTTTAAAAATGATTTTGTACGCGGTTTTACTGATCGAAGCGCGAGTATTCCCATTAACTGATTGGGAAACTCAAAGTGATGTCGTTATTTATTTTCAGTATTCTTTTTCTTTTTGAGAACCTACACACACAATGGAACAGTTTGATTATGATTGTGCCAGCCTGTGCTCCAAAATAACGGCAAGTCAAAATTATATTATCCTTTTTATCAGTGAAACATGGTAGCTGCTGTCTATGTCATGCTGTGCTCCTCATGATGATCCACGTATCTAGTAAACCCAAAAAGATTTAAGAGAAATAAAGCATGCTACACCGATCGTCCTTTTAACCCGCGCCCTGGTGGGGGGGGGCTATTTTTTGCCCCCCCCCCTCCAGACTTTTTGATATATCTCCAGAACCGCTGCGCCGATCGTCACCAAACTTTCAGTACCCTCCCGGACATCAATTTTACACATTGTGACCAAAAATTTTTCCAAAGGCTATGATAGGTTGGCCGGAAATGACGTCAGAGTAACGTCATGTTCTGCCGTTTTCGACCCAAAAAAGGTTTTCGCAGGAAGAGCTGTCAGGCCTATAGCTTTGCAAATACAGAAAAATGATAGAGACATAAAAGCTGTAGAATCAACAGGGCTACAAAACTGTTATCTCGGATTTTTGAAATTTTTGGATTTTGACCCCCAAAAATCAAAAAATAAATTTTTTGCATAAAATAATCGAAAAATCCAAAAACTTTTTTGAATTTCGCAAAAACCGGAATATATGTGATAGTGCTTACCGCCTTCCATCCACATACCAAATTTGAGATCGACACCTCTTTTTTTGGCGAAGTTATAGCGAAAAAACTGTTCAAAATTGATGACGTCAAATTTTCAAACTCAATTTTTAGCAATTCTAGACCCCGTAGCGCAAAACAAAGACCACCATTAGACTCCCCGTGACGAGCTGCATCGAATCATTACCCATTTTATGCAAAACTATCAACTTTAAAATTTGACCTTTTTTGGCCTGACCTTGACCTGACCTTGAGCTGAACTTCACCAGAAAGTGACCTAAGCCGTACCTGATAGTCTTATAACCAATACCATTGAGTTGGAATTGAAAAATTGGCCATAAAACATGCATCACACAACCTTAGTAAAGTTGGGCTCATGTGACCTGACCTGTGACCCTTGGTGACCTGACCTGTGACCTGACCTGGTATTGTCAGTGACCTCTAATAGTAATATATCTACTAGGCAACTGACGCCCTATCGCTGATTCTCGACAAAATGCGTTTTCCTCGGTGTTATAGCGCATTCCCTAGAAGACCCGTGAACGGTGAAACATATAATCTTTGACCTGACCTGTGACGTCATCGGTGACCCCGAGGTCAATGAAATTTGGTTTTCCTCGACAAATTTGACAGGCCTTTCGAACGCCGTTTGAATTTTGCGGATCCGTCCAGTAGTTTCGGAGATACGAGGGGGGGGGGGCAAAAAATAGCCCCCCCCACCAGGTCGCGTTATAAACAGACCCCACCAGGGCGCGGGTTAAGAGGAAGTAACGTAAGACTCTAAAAATTGAAGCCTATAGAAATATTTTTTTTTAATCGTGCTGGCAGGCTCGACTGCCAAAGGACCAGAAAAGTATGGACTGCATAAAACCAATAATTACCGTTGTTTTCAAAGAGCGTTCGTCTGTCCAGCAGAGATTGTTTGGAATGCAGTTTGAGCTTTGTGCTTGGAAATCTAATTAATTTTCCGTTATAATAACTCCTGGCAAATATACTTCCGATGTTCCGTTACTTCCGTTATTCATTCTGCCCTACCCACAGGCTGGCACACAGCATAATCCAAAGACAACACTCGACGGCGCCCGGTAAGTTACCGTTACGTTATCAAGTCCCGTTTACCGTTACGTTACCAGGTTGTCAGTTACCGTTACGTTACGAGCTGTGGGCTGACCGTCGTAACAAAGGTGCGAGAATACCGCCAACAGGCCTACACAGTACACACACGTATGGTGAACAGGGGAGCACCACCCGACCTCGGGCCGGGGGCGGGGGAGGGGGAGTTACCCACCCATCTGGCTAGACGTGAAGGCCCAAAAACGGCCAGAGAAACAAAGCAAAAAATACGAGAGCTGTATAAAATATGATGAAATGTGAAATTGTTTCATAGTTTTAAAAGCTTCTCTCGTCTCCTTGAGGCCCGAGGTCTTGGCCACATGATAAATATGCATTAAGGACCATTTAAATATTACAGTTATCAGATAAAATATCAAAGGTATATCATATCATGACGCCAACACATCAAAATGATCTTTTTCATTTCTATCATATTGTTTTCAAATCCGGTACGCAGCTCTCAAATTTTCGATGGCAGTAGGATGAATACGCTGTTACAAACAGTTATCCGATACCTTTTCGCAATCGTTGTGCCGGAAAGAGAACGCACCTTATTTACGTAGTTAAGTCTATCGCAAGCCAGATGGGTAGGAACTCTGTACAACCGATGGGCTTACCCCAAATGCCGCATACCTACTATGGACGTCAAACCCCTTGAGACCCCACTTTTTTGCGATAATTTGTAAATGCGTCAACTCTCGTTGACAATATTCTGGCAATGAGTGTTTCAGAACCTGCCGAAACTTTTATTATTAAGGTATTTTGACGCCAAGCGATTATGAAAGGTACTTCACATTCACTCGTAATGTTAAATTTCACGGAACGTATCTGCTGTTTGGGTAGAGGCTACACGCTCATGGGGCGGAGCCACGTAATGACGTCAGCGCTAAGCTCCGCCCTACCCCTCCGGCGCTCCTTGCCCGGCGACCGGTCACTCGCGTCTCTCGCTCCATTCAGGCTTGATGGTGGGCGGTAGCTGGTAGCGGTAGCGGGCGCTGGTAGATGGCATTTAGAGCAGATGGCGCTGGTGGCGGGGCTCGAGTGTGGCCGAGCGCAAGCCTCTCCCCGGGCCTGAATTGACCTTAGCATTACGAGTGAATGAGAAGTACCTTCCATAATCGTTTGGCGTCAAAATACCTTAGTACCTAATAAAAGTTTCGGCAGGTTCTGAAACATACATTGCCAGAATATTGTCAACGAAAGTTGACGCATTTAAAAATTATCGCAAAAAAGTGGGGCCTCAAGGGGTTTGACGTTCATAGTACGAGGCACGTGACGATCTGAACTGACTGTTACAGCCGCTATTCTCACTGTCCTTGTTCATGAATCCATTATTACCTACTAATAATTTTCTTGTACCAATTAAAGTCAGCCAGCTTCACTTTTAAAACGGAGATAAAGTAAAAGTAGTATAAGTACACAATGCGCACGCACAAAACGATTAAAGGGACGCTCCCACCTTCAAAAAAGTTAATGAATTGGCACGAAAGTGATGTCGCTCGGTTCAGAAAGAGCGAAAACGAATATCTACCAAATTTCATCGAAAAATATTCACCGGTTTTCAAGATATTATACTTTTACTTTTGTTTACTTTTTGGGATCTCCGCTGTTCCTAGCGACTTTATTTGAAAGTGCGGCATTTGTTGCGCGCAAAGCAGCATATACCACCGCGTGCTACCAAACGTTTTAGTAAAAGATTTAAAAATCGTTAGATCTCCGCTGACGTCACAAATTCTAAGGGGGCATACCAATGCACTAGCCCCTTAGAATCCGAAAACTGCAAGTTTGAAATTCCATATCTCCGAATTAAAGCATTTGTCGATGTTGTGAGTGCCCAAACCGGTATTTGCAGGCCATGGCCACCAATTTGGCTATCTCAACTCAAAACTAATGTTAAGGTGGGAGTGTCCCTTTAACTGATATAGATGATAATGTAAAACTGGGCTTAAATTTTTTTCCGATTCTTCAATACCTACGCTGCAATGAATGCAGCCGCTAGGAGCCGAACCACAAAAAAGCCAAACTTGATCGAACGGAACTAAATTAAAGAACGGAATTTAATTGCAGAGTACGATCAACGTCTACTACACCATCGGCCGGGGATGGGAGTCGGGTCGGGGAGGGGGGGGGGGGGGGGCAAGGTAGGGCGGGGCGGTGCTCCCCTGTCGGATGTCGCCTCCGGGGCACCCACCTGCCGCGACTCCGGCCGCCGACGCGTCAGAGGTGCCCGGAAGGGGAAGGCCACCGCCACCTGCCACAGGAGCGGGACGGGCGAGCGTCAGACGACACCAGCGACCCTTCCCTCAGCGCCAGACCCGAGTACGGGAGCGGCTGTTAATAATCATATACATAACGAGTAGTTGAACGAGTAGTTAACATTTGATGGAGGGGGAAATTTGTTCCTCTTTCAAATTTGATAACGATTTACAGTTTTACTTGTTACAACATGCTCCATGTACTAAAATGAATGAATGAAATGATGAACTAAAACGATTACTGAGACAGGCCATCAAGGATTGAGGATTGTTTGCTTACCTTGACTCAGGTCATGGTGCATCATCCCGGACATCGAATGTTCCGAGTCATAGCTGCCCTCATAGTTCACCACCTGACCCAGCGCCTGCTCTAAGCTCACATCATCGTCCGTAATGTCCACTTTTTCCACTTTCACCGCCGGGTCCCGTCCTTCCGGGCCGGCCGGCAGCGGCGACACTGTGTCCGACATCTGCTGCTGCTGCTGCTGCTGTACCGCCGGCTGCATCTGCAGCGGCGGCAGCTGTGACGGCGCGGGCGGCGGCGGCGGCTGGGTGGCCGACTCGGCAGGGGACGGGACGGCGTCACCGGACGGCTCGGAGCCGGCCGGCGTGGCCGGGCCGCCACCGCTCGAGCCGGACGGTTGGCGCGCGCGCGCCGCCGCTGGGGAGGCCGGCGGCGGCGGCTCGGGCGAGTCGGACACCACCACCGGCTCCACGTACACGTCTGAGTCGGTCGGCGGCGGCGGAGGAGGCGGCGGGCGCTTGGGCGGCGTGGGCGCCGGCTGCGGCGCGGCCAGTGGCCTCTTCATCGGTGTCGGTGGCAGCACGCGCGGCGCCATGGGCGGGGCGACCGGCCCCGGCCGGTGCCTGGGAGGCGGATGATGCGACATCGGCTGCATCGGCGGGTGCCGTGCCACAGGTGGGGGCGGCTGTGCAGGTGCTTGTGATTCCTGAAGAAAGAGATGGAAGATATGTCATGGGCAACTAATCATGGTGATAGCCATTTGGATCTAAGGAAAACAGCCCCTGATAAGGCAGAGTAGCAGCTTCTCATCATACATAAAACCAGAAATTACTTTGAATATGCTGGAATGTCATTTGCCCATCATTTGACTTTGACTCAAGTTTCAACCAGCTTCAGATTTAAGTGAGTTTTGCTTCAGCAAAATTACAAAAAAGGAGAGTCTCCATCTACAATGGACTCTGCTTTTAAAAAGGAGTCTCCATAATAGTGCAACCAGTTTGATGGTTAAGATTCCATCTTGATCTGAACCCACCTTTTCATCATCACCAGTCAAGCCACGAACTTGCAGCATTTCAGCAGTCTTCAAAAAACTGCTCAACTGCCCTTGTGTGACGTTCACTTCACCATTGTACACAAACTCTACTACAGCTTTGAGATCAACATAGGTTGTGTCCTTGAGAAAAAAGACTGGATGTTGACAAGGATTTTCCTGAAAACAAGATACATTACCTTTTAGTAAAGCAGAACAGGGTGAGAGAACAAGAACAGGTGTCATCTCATTCTGCCTAACATTGAAAATGGAAACATCAATGCTGTTGATTGCTGAGGTTAATGACTGGTGTCATTGTAAAGGTGATGGTCATGCCCAAAGGTTGCATTGAAAAAAAAATCAGCAATTTTTAAATTGAAGGTTTGGCTGACATTTTATGTGTGTACAACAGTTCATTGTCTTATCAAATTTCTATCCTTAAATGGCTTTAACAGCTCTTCAAATATCATTAGCACTTGATGAAAAATTGAATTGATTGAAATTGAAAGTAATTGACTACTTTACAATTGACATACCTTGAGAAGCTCCCTGAAGTATGGACTACATGCTGAAAGCATCATTCTGTGGGCCTTCACCTTCTTGCCCTCACAGCAAAGCGTAATGTCAACCAGCTCTTCATCCTGCCTCAAGTCTTCAAACACAGCAGTGACACTGTTCCTGAAGTCATTCCACTTCAGGCAGAACCTCTGACCATCAGCTGCCATAGCTCACTGAAACATCAAAGATTGGTTAGGAAACAGAACCTACTTTCAACAGTTCTCTGAAGACCACTTATCTCAAACAGACTATTTAACACCTATGTACTTGTAAGAAGGTGAGGAAGGGTACAAACAATTACAGATGTCTTAGGAAGTAGGCCATTTTCAGTGTCATAGCATTTAACAATTTGACAGATGGAAGAGGTGGGCAACCTATCTCCACTGCAGTCATAACAAGGCCCAAAGACCAGTACTGTAGGGTGGGGCTATTTGAGACAGTATGTAGTGGTTGAGTAAAATGGCTATAAATTGAAAACCATTTGATATTTTTGTGTCATTTTTCCTCAGGCAATTCACTGTTTGATTCCACACCAACCTGAGCAAAAATGACAAAAAATGAAATGGTTTTCATTTTATAGCCATTTTAATAGACCAATACATACTGTCTGAAATAGCCCCACTGTCTCAAACAGACCGACCAAATGCCTTACAGCATGATAGTGAGCTGTCAGGCTTTAAACCTATTCAGGTCATGTATTTCAAAGAGTAAATATGACATCATAGTATTGTCCTGGTAAAAATGAATTGTTGAACACCAGTAAAGTTTATATAAAGGTAGCTTTCAAAGGCTACTGCCTTCTTCATCAGCCATTCAAGGGTTTTAAATAACAAGACAATACATATTTGATTATTATTGTCCTGTAAATTGTTCATTCTCCCTAGTACATTCAGCAGCTTTCCGCAAAAGAGTGGCCAAACTTTAAGAAAAGTTTGTTTTTGTTTTCAAACTGCACAGGTAAACCTGAGGAGACACTTCTGAGGAGCTAGTTAGGTCAAGTAAGATAAGGTCCAATCTCCCGCACCTGTGGCTGGAAATGGGCAGGTGGCCATTCAGCTAGAGCCGCAGCTCTGCTGAACAGTCTCCCACCTCATGTTGTGGCTGCCTCCTGCATGCTGTTAATGCCGAAATGGTGGAAGGGAAAACAGCACCTTGTCGCTGACCAACAGGGTGATTCGTGGACTGGAGGGGATGTCCATGCTTTGCCATTAGTAAATGTGAATAATCAGATAAGTAACCACAGATACAGGTCCTGAGCAGTAATCGCCACCGAATTTGAGAATATGGATTGCTTATGATTGTTCAGTACCTAGGTATCATACCAATACCCTCAGCCACAATACAAATACACACAATACAATTGTGATTGTGTGGTGACCCTCTTCAAGCTCAAAAGTTCTTTCCTTCATGTTTTCAAATTGTGAATTTCTCCATCTTTAGAGGGTGCAAAAGGTAGTAAGTCATCCAATGCCTCCCTTCTTGGTACACAAACTGAAATGCATTATCGCGGCCCGCGAACGCGAGACATTTCATTTTCAGAACAGGCACCTACCTTGCAAAATTATGCTTTATGATTTCTGCAGCAAAAGCTGGGCAGAGAAAATACAAACCACAACACATAGAATGTATATTACATGCACAGCCAGGCTTGGGCAGCGCCGGCGCGGACAAACCTCCGAGTGCCTCCGAGGCTCCCCTCCTCTGCTCCTCCTGATCAAGATGGCGTCAGCGAGCGTCCTCTCTGGTCCTCTCAGCGCTCAGCGCATCCCCTCAGCGACCAATCAGCGCCCGAGTTGCAAGATATATTTTGTAAAACAATTATTCAACCGATACAAAGGAAGCGAAGCCGACCTAATTTTTGACAAACAATAAAAAATCATTGAAAGTTTTTTCAAATAAATGATAACTGTTGTGTAATGAAGAAACAAATGAATGAGCTATTAAAAAATCACAATTTTCGTCTGCTAACACGGAACAGAAACAGGCGCTGATTGGTGGACAAGTCAAGTGTCCTCTTGTCAAGTGAGCTAGAGTGGCAAAAATGAGGACAATCAGGAACGGATGGATAAATGCCCCCGAAAACAGCGATGGATGACGCTTGGCGTAAATTGTAACACAGGTGACTGCTTTCCAATATCTATCTTTCCATAAAGTCGAAGATCACGAACCCAAGAAACCCAATCTGAACAACTTTGAAGAACCCAAGTTTTTTTTTCAGAACCAACGAAGCGATGAAGAAGTCTGTTTATTGGCATATGATGAAAAGTCTCGTCACAGCTCGCAGCCGAGCAAGACAAATCAGACAGGAGCATACGCATACATGGTGCAAACAATGAGGCCAAGTCATCGTCGCGTCCATTCTTCTACCACAGACACTGACATGCATTCATAGTGAAACGACGGTTGCAAAACGCCTACTTCGATTTCCAAGATTGTTCCACGACTTTTCGTTAATTTCGACCTATCACTTATGGCTGGATGTTTTGTTGTGCGCTCGTCTCGGCTGAGCCCTGAGCAGTGAGCACCCAATGTGTTTGCAAATGTGTTCGGGCGTGACTCGAATTTTTAGGGGTGGGGAGAAAAGGGAAAAATTGAGTCGGAAAGATAAACAGACAGCGGAAACAGTAGAACCATTCTAACATTTCAAACTATATATTATGGGATAGGAAAAAATTGAAATAGATGGGCACTTCTTTAAGTCAATAATATGAAATGGTTTACAACAGAGTCCAAAAATAAGAAATGGCCAATTTTGATGAAATGAATACACATCAAAGACAACAACAGACTTTGTACAGACGCCGATTGGCACCAAACAACTGCACCTCTGTGGATGACGTCACCAAAACGACATCCGATGTAGTACGTGAGGACCACGGCAGCCTCCATATGCGATCGTGCACCCGATCACAGACGTCAGTCACCAATGGGTCCACATTATACGACTATCAAAAACAGCGATGACGAACTCATACAACTCACACACACTCGAACACACATACTCCCTCCCACAGACTCATGCACCCATACATGCGAATTCACACAAGAGCATCCATTTGAAGCAGGTAACTTCTGCTTCTCACGGACCTCGACGTTACGCGGTGTTCCTCCATCCTTATTCGTCAGAGGTCTCAATTCCATTTTCTGCCGCTGGCAGCGCCACTATCGCACCCAGTGCGATGCAGCATTCGTCTCTGTTCACCAGACCGGCGGTCACTCACAGGGCGTCGGCAGCAGTAGCTCCTGGCCGCCCTCACCGCTCTCCACGACACTGCGGGCGAACCTGACGCCAGCACGCAGTCGCACCGCCAGTTCCACGGTCGGCCGTATCTGACCTGGTCACTGACAATTGACCACAGACCGGTGACCACTAACAGGTGACCACTGACCAGCGACCACTGACCGGCGACCACCGTCCTCTGCGGCCAGTCGTAGGCCGGATCGGCCGCCGGGCGCCGGAGATCCTTCCAGTCACCGGGCGCCGCGGACAGTCCCTCCGCCGGCGCCGGCTCGTGCACCAGCCGCCGAGTCTCCGTCCCCGCGTCTGACACCATATCCGTACATCTTCCGTTAGTGTCTGCGCCGCTTGTCCCTGTCGTCGCGGCGCTCGTCGCCGGGCCGCTTGCTGGCCTGCTTGGCTTTGGAGAGGAACTGGTCGATACCGAACGGATCGAACTCCTCCTGGCGCTCGAACTGGACGGGCCCCGTGCGCGGCGCGCCGCCCGACCGGTCGGCGCCCTCGAATCCCTTATCAGGAGCGAACCTGAAATGGAGGGCCAATGTGGTGACGGTGAACGTGGCAGCGGTGGAAACACGTTTTGGTGTATGTTAAACAAACGACACAACTAAACGTGCCACAGTATGAGAGATGTGCATTAATTAACTGTTCATATATACTTGAAGGAATGAAGAATTTTCATTTCGCATGACAAACATTCTTTGGTAAACTGTTGTAGCAGTATCTGCCTCGAGACATCACGCCAATGCTGCCGGTCCTCCATCCAGTCGAGTATGAATACCCGACCGTCATAGCCATTAGCCACGGCACCCGGCCCAGACCATCCCCGTCGCCACCACTCACCTGTTGGTCTTCATCAGGCTCTCCAGATCATCACCAAACACCTCCTTCTCGACATTCTTTCCCGGCCGGTACACATTGGAGGCCATGGAGGCGCCCTGGCCCCACGGCTTGTCGTACACATTGTACGCGTCCTCGTCGTTGAACCCGCTGTCCATGCCACGGCTCTGGTTGAAGAGCCGCTGGTCGAACTGGGTCTCCCCGGAGCCGCCGGGGCGGGCTGGCAGACCGAGCGCGATCTGTTCGGAGATGTCTCGCTCACGCTGCCGGTCCTGGCGGCTGCGCTTGTCGTTGCCGGTGCGCGCCAGGTTGCGCTCACGCGCGCGCTCCTTGTGACGATCCTGACGCAGCGCGTCACGGTCGCGCACCGCGTCATCTGGGGACACAGGCAGAGGCGGGGCCGGCGCCCACTGAGACCGAGAGGTGGTGAGGGGTGTCTGCCTCAACTACTGTGCTCGGTAATGATAAAAGTGCAGCGAATTCCTCCAGACTGAAACTGAGGGCGACTGAGGGGAAATGGGGACGCCAGCTGGAACCTGTCGGCCGAGCCGGAGAGGGGTTAAGCCACGCCTTCCAGCGCCACCTGTTGGCTCAAGTGGGATTTTCGTTACGTTCATCATGACACTGACAGGTCTCTAGAATCGATTGGGACCTCGCCAACCTGCCAGCTCGCAACACTGTGGGAAAGCTTATAGATGTCACATTTAGCAATAAGCAGATCACCAAAAGCAATCTAACTCCAGGCTGACCCCAATCTGGCTTATCTAGCCCCCTGATTAGTAGTAAGAGGATGTCCTATTATTTGCTCGCTCTCATTCAGCCCAGGCCCGGATACTAATCATCCCTAGTCCTACCGCCATTACTGTGTACTCACAGAGCACGGGACGTGTGTACGCAGAACCGCTCTACAACCGGCTCAATTTATACTCCCAGTCGCCAAGGTCAGTCACTACTACGCTCCACCGCCCACCAGCTCTGCCACTTAACCAATCAAGTAGCACTCCGCCCTAGTTAAATTTAACGCACCACATCCTTTCAGCCCGCCCGCACGCAGTCACTCGGCCACGAAAACATCATCCAGTACCCGCCCAACGCTGCGTCTCACCTTCTTTGGCGGTGGCCGTGCGGATACCAGCGCGCTCCTCGCGGGCCTTCTTGGCGAGCTCGCGCAGATTCTCCTCCTTACGCTCCTTCTCCTTCTGCGCCAGTCGCTTCTCGAGCTGGGCTCGCATCTCGACCGCCTCGCGGGACTGTTGACATAGGCGGCCGTCATTGCATGTGTCATCATGAGTACCGAACGCTGGCAGGATCTGCATTGAACAGCTGGGATAAACAATGTCATTAATTCACCACCAAGTATGCCAGCTCGTTTATACAACACGCACATTCGCGCTGACGTTTGCTAGTCTCGCTGCGGACGGTTTATCAAAGTTTACAACATCAGACGCTACCCGCCTGAGTCGGTCTTGGAATGTGACTAGCATATGAGATGACTGATATGCGTACATATGCAATGCTCAAAGAAAAGGTCATCTTTTTACGTTGCAGTACAAATTTAGAAACAGCATATTTAAGTGTTTACGCTACAAACCAGGCGATGGCGAGGACACCTTCTTTGGTTAGTGTGACGTCACCTCGTTTAGTCATTCTGATTTAAATGGGTTTGTTCGTTGAAAAATCGCTTAAAACTTGGTCTGAACTTTGCTGTGGTGCCTACAGAGTAAAAAGAATCAGCTTTATGACAGTAATGTGGCCTGGGGAAAGTGGTAATTTTGGGCTGTGACGTCACATATTTGAATGTTTGTGTTTGGAATATGGGAAGCCTAAGATGTTTAATGAAAAATAAATGCCAGAACCGTGTTCCTGGTCATCCAATCTATAAAGTCGGGCACAATTTAACTGGTTTTAACAACATTTTAGAAGGTGGGATAGTCCCTTTAATTAACCCTTCAGATCCACCAATGCGAACGGTGACATCCCGGGGACAGTAGCGCCAGGGACCGACCTTTCTGTCAGCGATGTACAGCGACTCAGCCAGCTTGGCAAAGTTCTCGTTGATGTGGACCTGCTGGAGGCCACGACCGTCGGCTGCCAGACGTTTGTCCAGCGGGATCGTGTAGCCCTGTAGGTTGGAGATACAGCGGTCAGAAGGGAGGTCACGGCGGTCAAAACAGTGGTCACGGCGGTCAGAACAGAGGCCAAAGCGGTCAGAACGAAGGTGGCAGCGGTCAAAAAGCTCATCGCAGCCAGAGGAAAGCCACTATCTTCAAAACACGAATAGCAGTGAAAGAGTCAGGGAGGACATTGAAGACAGAACAGATGTGACCATAATCAGCGTAAGTCACATATCAAACAAACAGATGGCTCACTTTAAGTACATAGTTATGGTCCGAAGTACGAGCAACGTGCCACTGCATCAGAGACAACAGACTCAAAGGCAGTGAACGACAACCCACGCGGCACGACACGCTGGTCTGATTGGCTACATGAAATGGCATCCAAAGCAATACAATGATGGTCCCGCTCGTCTGGAAAGATCATCGTCAATGATTATGACAAATACGACCGATGCTCACCGCACCGTGTGGCATATGAAACTTAGCGATAGTTGCAAATTCAAAGACAGAATGAGAGTACCGAGAGAATGTCCGAGGCCCCGAATTACAATAAAAAGTTTATACTAAAGACTAATCACTTTCTAGCTGGTTCACGTTTCATCTACATTTTACAGTCCAAAATTTGTAAAGTGCAATAGAAAGTGCGAGACCGGGCGATACCGCTTCTAAAAAAAACAGGAATACGTCACCAAATAGCCCAGTGTCTATCCGCTCTGTCTTAGCATGTCGGGCGTAGGCAGTGCGCTCAGCTATGGGTTAATTGATGACCTTGGAAGGCCGAGACTCAGCCAGCCGGCGCAGATCGCTCCGTCTCGACATAGCACTACATTGAGCTCAATTGAGTTCACCGACTGCACGGTACAGTACACCGCGGCTCCGCGACACAGCCGGCCTCGCTTCCTGTCACGCTGGTCCCCGGTGGGTCAGCGAGCCACGACACGACCACCCGGCCCAGTCGGCAGCAGTGCCACAGCCGAGTGATGTAGGTACCCATTCACTACGGGCGCAATCACGCTACACCACGCCCAAAATGTCTGAAACCCTCGAGCAAAACAAATCCAATGACTGAGCGGTGACGGTGTGGCCGCTTTAGGCGCCGGATTTTCTCGGGTACCTAGTGAGCTCAGTTCACAGCGGCAGTGTCCGCTACACAAAACGCGCAGCAGGCCTGCCGAAGGACGTAGTCACGCCGAGGGCCGCGAGCCGCTCGCCTCATATAAACATAGAGCACTGCCGGGTGGCCACAGTGACGCGGACAGAGAAGAAAGAAACAAATAAACGGCAGATCGGCACAAGACGCGGCCGGCGTTTTGTAACTCCAGTTCAAAATAAACGCCAGAAGTGCTGCGCCAGATTACTGTCAATTATTCTCAGCTCCAAAACGAGGACAATGCGCTTTTGCACATGTTTTTGCGCAATGCTTATGTGCATATACCACCACTACACACTGCCTTTCAGACACCAGCGGTCCAAACTGCCAGCATCTAGATCTAGCCTTTTTTGTAAGTCCATTACAAAAACTACTATAGAACTAGGTGTGAAGTTAAAATAGATAAGTGCGCAGTTGCATTATTTCCGGTGCTCCCTCGCAGCTCTCCTTCACCGCTACATGTCGTAGCAAAATACCCAGGATCTGTGAGACAGACAGTCGACGTGCAGCGCCCTATCCTCGTGAGAGCCCACGACAGCAGATCACAGCGCAAATAGCCCACAAGAAAGTGCACTGACCTTGGCGTTTTTCCAGTTTGAGATGCACGGAGGGATCTTCCAGTCCTGCTGCTCCTTGACGGTCACCTTCCGTGTCGGAGAGTGCATCACAGGCGCCGGCGGCGACGGCGGACCGCGAGGAATCTTGGCGTTTATTCTGAAATAGACGGGATAACACGTAAATACGGTGACTTGAACTATAATAACCCGGCTACGGTTATAAATTTCGGCTTGTGGCACATTTGCAACTCATCGCACTATACTCTAGCAGCCATAGCTTAATGCACTACATTTATATATAACCGGTTTATTTTCAACCATGACAGTATCTCACCAATAGTGGCATTACCCAACAATTAAGCCCGAATTAATTTTGTTCCCTGCGTATCATATATTTTTGCTTGGGTGTCAGAGGGGAAAATTGCTGACCAAAAAGGGGATGAGAGTGAACAATTGTTGGTCAGATTAGGCCCAAAAAGAGTGGCTAAGGACCAAAAACATGAATTTATCTACTAATTGTGGCAGATAGAGGATTCAAAACAACCATTTATGCAACTTGCTCTTTCTTGGTGGAATTGGGAGTGGAAATTTGGTCTTGAAAATTGGAGGTGAGAGTGGAAAATTATTTTCATTTGGATGTCGTTTCCCACCCAAATCAACAAATTTTGGGGCAGTGATCATACCAGTCAATAGCCTCGCCATTTTCCGCGAAGCTTTAACTGAATTGGAGCTAAATGGTGTGAAGTCGTACGAACCACATGCTCTTGTCTAAAGAAAGCCGATACTTCTATAGGTCTTGTTTATTGGCACGAAAAATAGCTGGGGGGTAACAAAATGTTGTATTTGTCATGTCAAATAACAGGCCATCCATCAACAGTGCCGTTTAAACCGAAATTATGCTAAAGCTGATGGTACGCCATAACCATACAGCAATATGCCTTGTTGCTTTTAAGTTGCAACATCGTAATGGCCAGCGGCAAAATACGGTTATAGTTTCCACGCACAAGCCTGAGAGGAGTAATCTCTGAAGAGCGTCAGCGACTTCCAAATAACGCAAAGCACATCAAACATACCCTAATATCAGTACGAAATATTGACATGATATGAATATTCAGGGCAGACAGAATATTGACAGAATATTCGGGCAGTGGGTTACCGGCTACGGGGCAGTATGAAATGCGTCCACATCAAAGGCATTATGTATTTGGGATGTAAGAAGTGAACGCCCGGAATGTATCGGCCATTGTCACTCGGTGACAGGGTGTTCATTCATTGGGGTTTACGGGCGCGTCGACTGCGGTGGTCATTTTGCGCCCATTCGGTGACAGGGTGTCTGAATACACATCTGCAACTAATATTAATTTCTGTATGAATCCAGCCAAAGTGTTGTAACTTGTAACTCCAACGTTCAGTAACCACTACACGGAATACCCCGCCGCCAGCACAGCCCACGGGCGATGTTAGTAGCCCATGGAGCTGGCGGAGCCCACCACGATCAGCACCAGGAAGACGAGGAACGCCAGCCGATCCAGCAGTCCGGCCAGCGCGGTCCACTCGTGACAGAGGCCCTTGGCGTCCGGCTCGGGCGGCGCGGCCAGACAGCAGACACAGGCCAGGCAGCCGGTCAGCAGCCGGCGCAGACAGGCGGGCAGCCGGCAGGCGCGCGGCCGGCCCAACACCACCACCAGCACGGTCCAGAGTAGCACGGCCACGGCGATGTACGTGTAGGCGTGGTAGGCGCGCAGGAAGTGCGCCCGGTACTCGGCGCTGCCCACCAGGCCGAACTCTGTGAGCGCCGCACCGCCGGCCGCCAGCACACTCAGACAGGGCAGGGTCAGCTTCTGTGGCGAGTCGACCGGCACCAGCAGGCCGGCCAGCGCCGTCAGCAGCGACACGGCCACCGGCAGGTTGGGCCACGCCGACAGCGAGCCAGAGCGGCGCAGCTTCACCTCCAGTGTCGCATCCACGTACGGCTCCGGGCAGCACGAATAGTACACGGTGTTCTTCTTAATGGACGCTCCCTGCAGCTTCCAGATCTCACCAGTCTTGATGAACGATGACAGGTCGGCGCTGTCATCTTTAATGTCTATATCCACCTGGTATCCATTGTAAGTCCAGGAGCCAAGTTTCAGCGTGCATCGGAATTCCTCAAGGTGGGGACCGGCGTGGTAGTCTCTCCTACAAAACACACGCAAAGACGACGGCGGCACGTACAGCATCGAACCGTCCGAGTTCACGACGATTAACGTCTTTCCCATCCACGACATATCCGGTCGGGGCAGCATGTTGTACGGCATGATGTCCGGAATCCACACATCTTCCGGCGGGATGCGCAGGCTCTCCACGCCCCCATAATCCTCCGGGTCCCAGACGAGTTTGTCGTCCTTCCACTCCAGGTTACCCCAGATGTTGAGCGTGGCCTCGTGCGTGGCCTCATCGAGCACCACTTGCTGCAGGGTCAGTCCCAGGGAGACTTTGACCGTCTGGCTGTGGTTGGTCACCGGCCGCACGCGGCGGTCGTAGTCTACCAGCAGGTCCCGCAGCAGGCGGGTCTCGTCGGCGCTGCCGCGGACCGGCGCACTCAGCAGCGGTAGTAGCAGCGGCGCCAGCAGCGCACAGCCCAGCGGCGGAGCACGCATGGCGGAACGGCGGCCGGCGGGCGACTGGGGCCACCACTCGGCCGGCCGCGCCGCTCCGCCTGCTGGCCGAGTCCGCCGCCAGGGCGGCCGCCGTATAATCAACAGCGCGTGGAGAGGACCTTGGATAATTAAACAATCGTCCAATTCAGCCGCGGCTAAAGAGCGACCGCTAAACGTACCGACGCCTCAACTGGGAATATTTTCTACTTAGCATAATACATCCACTCCACCGTAAGTTTCAATGCGTGCTTCCCAAAACTTTGTTAAAAACTAAAGCAGCCTTGTATCTTATGCACAATTTCTTCTTCGGCGAGTCTCAGAAACCATCGCTCATCATATTTCAATTGGGACGAGGGATCGGGGTGTAAATGAAAAAAGAATAATAGTTTGGAAAGGCGTTTGGAGAATTTTCGCATGCTTGAAATATTATCGAAACCATGTTCGAAAGCCAAACAAACCCTGCTATATTGTAATATACATATACGATTTGTCTGCTTTTTAGTCATATTGGTCATTCATATTCTGGATATTACTTCTGTCATCTTTCTCACATGGTAAGCTACTGACTACTGTACTAGGGAGTGAGGGGAACAAAGGTCCAGTTAACAAATAAGTCAACAACAACACCCGCCCCCAAATTTAGTATTTACAATCCATTCAGGGAAAAGAATGAGAAACAAAAAATAGGAACATTACACTTTCCGGCCTTTTCAGCCCGTTAGCCAAGAGCTAGAAACAACGGAGCGGATCGCCTACCAACCAAATCCTTCAGCTGAACTCATTGCCGTCGTCACTTATGCATGACACAAGTATGTAGACAAATAGGAATATATGTCGCAAACTGGCGTACGCAGGGGGGGGGGGCGGAGGAATGGATCGGACTAGAGTTGAAGAAAACTTCGGT